TCTTGGTATCTGCAGTTTCTGTGGAGGGAATGGAAGGGCAGACAAGGAGGGTGATTTTTCTATTTTAGCCTCTTGTTTACAATACCAGTGAGGGATAAAAGACTTGACTGTCACTTTCATTTGGGGTTTTGTGTTAAGACTCTTCTACTGCTTTCTTAGCTGAGCTCCAGAAGAAATCATTTCTTCTCTTTATTATCTTTCTCTCATTCTGTTGGTGGAGTCAGAGTTCTAGATTTTTACATTGGTTTTCATGACCATAAATTATCTGACCATACTCTACTCTCTTAAATCATCTTTTATTAATAACCAGTCTCTGGAAATGCCTGCTAATTTTCTGCCTATGTCACTATATTGGTTCTGGTTTGTTTGTTTTGTTGTTATTGTTTATTTATTTGTTTTTCTTGCATCACAAACAGTGTATTCCCTCCCTCCTCTCCTCCCAGTCCCTCTCCCTACCTCCCCTCTTCCCTCACTCTATACTTCCCCATTCCCATTCACTCATCATCCTTTGTTTCTCTTCAAATACTGCCAGGTGTCTCATGGATATTATTCTGCCATGGTATATCAAGCTGCAGTGAGGCATCTCCTCTTTTCTTAAGGCTGATTAAGCTATCCAATAGGAGGAATGGGTCCGCATCTCAAAACAGTGTTTACTGAACTTTATGTGCTAGGATTTACTCAGTCCTTAGAGGACAAAAAGAATTGATATACTTTGTCTATGTTTATTTTTTTTATAAAGTGATTGATCCTAATCCAGTGGAATTCTTTTTTTTTCCCCTTACATTCTTGACTCTTTGTCTTCACAGTTTTGTCCTCGATAACAGGTAAAGTGTCTGTTAGAATATTTATCCATAAATATTTCCTCCATGTGTATATTGACAGAATAAGTAATAAAAATGAGAAAGTATGTTGGTTTGCTACACTGAAGTATCATTTTTCCATTAGTTTAAAGTAGTTTCCATTTGTTCCTTCAAACGCATATTTTTATTCTTTCGGTATTGATGGCTCAACCTGTTATTATGCCCTGAATTATTTTACTGGTGAACTGAAGAGTTATTTTGGTTCCTCTAAATAGTCTTTAGAAACAAGTAAAATTCGTCAAATACCCTCAGGTGACTTGGGAACTACCATTGGCAACATAGAGGGATTGAAGTCAACAGTTTTAGTTAATATATTCTAGATTACAGGTATCATTGATATGTTTATTAGCTGCAGATTACTGGAGATAATATTAAATTTTCTATGTCTATTAATATATAATTTACAGAATTATATGTAGATAGTATTGTTTTATATAGTCTTTGCTGAGGCAAAATGAGATAACACTTGAAAATTAGATATCAAAATCCCAAGCATATATATTTCACTATAGTTTGAATATATTCTTGCATAAGAACCTTAAATTGTCTTGTGTCAGACAAACACAATGCTTATCTCAATCCGGCATCCTAGTATCATTCATTGAAGTGAACTTTTACCTGGAGAACTGTATCATTGGATTGGATCCAGCTATTATGCTCTGCTATAAGATATTTATATTATTTACAGTGCATAACTTTTAATTGCTTGTGACTGTCCATTCATCTCTTTGTTTTTTCCTACCTGGATAATCAATGACAAACTGTAGAGAAGTGACGGTGATATAGATTATTCATCACAACTATGAAGAAACAGGTGTCTCAGGGGCACACACTGGATATGATCAGTAAGTTAACCCAAATCATGATAAGTTTCTTGATTAGCCCAATATCCACCATGGCTGTGATCCTGATTCAACCATTTTATAATGTATGATTATTTTAACATTTTTTTTCTTTGCTAAGATGCATTTTTTATTTATTTATTAAAGATTTCTGTCTCTTCTCTGCCACTGACTCCCATTTCCCTCTCCCTCCCCCAATCAAGTCCCCCTCCCTCATCAACCCAAAGAGCAGTCAGGGTTCCCTGCCCTGTGGGAAGTCCAAGGACCACCCACCTCCTCCCAGGTCTAGTAAGATGAGAATCCAAACAGCCTAGGCTCCCACAAAGCCAATACGTTTAGTAGGATCAAAACCCAGTACCATTGTTCTTGACTTCTCAGCAGCCCTCATTGTCCGCTATGTTCAGCGAGTCCGGTTCTATCCCATGCATTTTCAGACCCAGTCCAGCTGGCCTTGGTGAGTTTTGAACATGATAAATTCATAGAATTTCTAATATTGAGTTCTTAGCCATCCAAGTAGCATCAAGTATGGGTTCTATGTTGTATAGTGGGTCTTATACCAAAACACATATTCGTTGATTACTCCCACAAGCTTAGTGCTACCATTGCACTAGCAAATCTTGTAGGCAGTACATGATTGTCAAGCCAAGAGTTTGAGGCTGAGTTAGTATCTGCATTTCTCTTTTGGTAGCAATCAAAGTTCCTTTCTGTATTAAAGATGCTAGAACATAAAGATGAAGGCTCTTTGTAAAGACAGCTCAATGTCTCCAAGTTCAGAGTTGAATAGGTATCTTTAGCAATGGGGTCTTCCCTTTAGTTTGTTGACAGCAACCTATAGATTTGGGAAAACCTTGAGTAGTTTGGGAATTCCCTTGGGACCCTTGTAGCCAACAACTGAGTTAACTTTAACTCAGTTAAAATCAATCAAATCCAAATTTTGTAAACACCACTTAGTAACTGGAGATGGCTGGTTGATTCTCTGTCTTCTCATTGTTTTGCAACATAAGTTTTATCTCCTTCATATATGTATGTATTTTATGGTTTCTGTTGCAATTGTTCTCATAAAACCCCTGAAATGCCCCTTAATTTTAGATGTCTCTCCTGTGTTTTCTCCCTTGTTCCTATCTTCTTTTCATTTCTGCACTTGATCCTCCAGTTCCAGGCACCCATCTATCCATAACAACCTATTCTATTTTCCTTTCCTAAGGAGATGTAGCTGCCCTATCCTGTAGTTCCTTACCATATATTTAACTTATGTGGCTCCACATAATGTATCTTGGTTATCATTAACTTAATAACTAATATCCACATACAAACAAATACTTACCATACTTTTCTTTCTTGGTGGGGGTTATGTTACTCAGAGTGTTTTTTTCTGTTTCCATATATTTATGAAATTGAATGATTTCCTTTTTAATGATAAGACACTACTCCATTGTATAAATATGTCACATTTTCTTTATTCATTTATGTATATATTAGTCATTCGTATATAAGAAGGTTACTGATTTTTGTGTGTTGATTTTGTATCCTGCTCCTTTTTTTTCAATGTGGTTATCAGATGTAGCAATTTCCTGGTTGGGTTTTTCAGGGTCTTTTATATATTAAATAATATCATTCACAAATAAAGAGAATTTGATTTTTTTTCCTTTACTTTTTTGCATGCTGTTGCATGTGTCTTTTCACAAGTGTGGGTTCATGTGGATCTGTTGAAAGGAAGACTCAGAAACACTGTAAGAATAAGCTTAGCATTTGCAGCTGCAGAAAACCTCAGCCTCTTAGAACTGAAGAGTCTTTCTTTTGCCCAGGGCATTTTTATGTTTCTCCATATTTACAATTAATCCAATTGATTTCCATATGCTCAAAACTTCTAAAGTACAATGCCAAGTGCAAATTTTCAATTCATCAAGTACCACAGTTTTCCAGGTTACCTGAACCAAGTTTTGTGTAGGTTTTGTATCCTTAGGAAACACAGACAAGATTCACATAGGTCTGACAAAAGGTATCTGCTAAATAAAAGATGGATTATAGCTAGGTGCTAGCTCTCTGGAGCAGGGCCAGGAGTAGCCCAGCTGGGATTAGTGCTAGGCGCTAACTCTCTGGCACTCATCCAGGTGCAACCCAGCAGGAATTTTGCCACAGTATGCATTTGTTTTCTAAATGTCTTTTTGCTCTAGCTAAAACATTAAGTGCTATCTTGAAAAGGTATTGAGAGAGTTGTCATCTTTGTCTTCTGTCAAATTTTAATGCAAATGTTCTGTGTTTCTCTCCGGTTAGGTTTATATTGGCTATTGTCTTATGATAAATTGTGTTACTATGTATGATGAGTTCTTGATGTGTCCCCAATCTATAAAGAACTTTTATAAAGAAGTGATGTTTGGATTTTGTCAAAGGTCTTCTGCATCTAATGAGATGACCATGTGTTTTTTGTCTTTCAGCCTGCTTACGTGGTAGATGATTTTTATCAATTTATGCATGTTGAGTCAACACCATGCCTCTAGGATGAAATCTACTTTATTAGGATGAATTGTTTCTTCACATATTCTTGAATTACTTGAATTGTGAATAATCTTATTAAATATTTTTTTCCAAGCCAAACTGTATCCAGCTTTATTCAAGACACTTTCCATAAACAATCATGGTTTTCCAGGCAGAACATGGGCAGATAATCAGTAACAGTATACAAGAACTTCCAAACCCCCTTCTTGTATGGACTACCAAAATCAGAAAGCCACTATAAAACCTGGTGAGTCTTCATTGGATGCTCTGCAAAGGGGGAGGAGTTTAGAGTGAGGGCTGACATTTCACATTGAGGATGTTGTTTCACAACTCTTCACAAGCCGATCCTGACTTTCAGGAAATGAAATGAAAATGGCAGAATTATCAATCTGCAGATCCACAATCTTCTATAAAAGGAACCGCTGCGCTTTTGAGGACACTCAATGATATCACTGCAAAGTCCGGATTACCCAACAGACTGGCAAAACCAATTTTGGGGATCAGGTTCCAACAGGTATCTGGTCTTAAGGGAGTTAAGTCTATGTTGATGGTACAGGGGGAGGAGGATATAAAAATGAACTGAGTTTTCCCACACAAGGCATGTTGTGCCATGGTGGCCACACATATCAATATCTCCCCAGGACGCCTCCCCTGGGAGCCAAGAGGAGTCTTTCAAAATTATCAGGGAAAGATGTTTTCCATCATGAACCATCATTCATCCAGCTTGGGAGACACTGCTAGTGACACATGTTCCTCCCCACCCAAAACAATGAAGTGTTCTGTGTGCTAACAACATAGCTTTAAAAAAAAAAGTAAAACAAAATTCTGAATTTTTATAAAACTTGATAAAAAATAGTATTTCAAACTGTACAGTCACCAGAAGTACACAGTTATCAAAAACGCACACATTTCACTTGGCGTCTCCAGCACCTTCAGCTATTTGTGCCTGGTCTGTTTTGGCGTCTCCATTCTCTGCAGGATTATTGGCATCCTTACCAGCATCAGCCTTCTCCTTCTTCCCCTTGGGTACCTTCTTTGCGGGGGCCTTTTTAGGCTTGGGCTCTGGCTTTGGAGGAGCAGGTTTAGCAGACAACCTTGCCAATCTTCTCTGTGGTTCATCCTTCACCTTGGCTTTATCTCCTTTAGTATCCCCTTCAGCCTTTCTTTTGGGCATGGCGGTGGCAGGTGGGGGGCGGGAACGTCGGCGCTGAACACGGGGCTGCAGTGGTGCGCGGCTCAGGTCCGTCCAGGGGGTCGTTCTCGCTGCTTTTTCCCTTATTAAATATTTTTGCAATATTTTAATTATGTATATGTGTGTGGGTGTGTTTGTGTGTGCATATATTTTTTTTTCTCTTTCTCTCTGTAATGTCTTTGTAGGGAGAGACGTGTGTTTCTGTCTGTCAGTCTGTTTTGGGGGATAAGTATAAGAATGCAGATAACAACTAATACCTTGGATCTGGAGTTACAGATGGTTGTAAATCACCCAATGTGGATGCTGTTAGGCAGATCTAGGTCCTCTACAAGATCTGTACATGGTCTTAATCACAGTGCCATCTCTCAAGTCTTGGGATTCCACTGTCCCTTTTGTTACTACCATGAATGTATATGCACAGTTGGAAAGAATTGCTGTATCTTTCTTAGGAAAGTAATATGTAGAAAGTCAAAGTACTGTTGATATATATTTTTTTTTAATTTCTGGTTATTCATCTGAAAACTCTCCATGTAGATAAATTTAGGAAGAGAAAAGAACTGTTGCAAAAAAAGGAAAGGATTCAGGCTTTCTCAAACCAATTAAGAAAGGCACCTGAATGGTGAAAGACAGATCTTTCACCTTTGGTTAAAGTACTTTCAGCTCCAATATGAGAACCAATCTGGTGATTTGCAGAAATTATTCAAAAAACCAGATGAAATATAACACTCCCACAACTTATACATAAAGCTTGTACTAAGATTAACAAAAGGAAAAAAAATCAATGAAGTAAAGAAAAAAGGAAAAGAAAGCTGATATTGTTTAGTAGGTGAAACTGCATACAACAGAGGTGCAAGTTATTAAAGAGGAAAACTCAAACTGCCACCATAATCTCCTTGGGTCCAGTAAGAGTTCAGAGAGACATTAATGTAAGGCAGACATGTTAGGAAAGATCTATAGTGCATATTTGGATGCACATTAGACCCATTTGTTTTTCTGTAGTGAAAATCACAGTGTTCCATTCATACTTCTCTGATTACTTTGTGAGTCATTGTCTCAGTGTGAATGGTTAAAACGGTATTTACACAGAATGCACTCTGTAGTGTCCGGATATATATCGTGTTCTTTCAGTGTTGTTTTATTTGTCGTCAGAAAAAGCGGTAAGTCTGAATTTTCTCTTTCTAACTATCTCCAAAATACTATTACTAGATAATCTAATCAAGAACCAAATGCATTAATCATCTTCCCATGACCATACTAAATACCTGGAATAAATGAAATACAAAGAGTTATTATTATTATTTTTTTTTTGAGAGCTTGAGTCCATGGATGCTGGTCCATAGTTCTTAGTCTGCTTCAGGGAAGCTTGTCATGATAAGAAATGTGGTATATCAAATCTCACTTTAATGCCTCAAATGTGTGAGTAGCTAAAAGGTTGTATTATACTTTCCCCCTTTAAGGATACATTCCAATCCTATAGGATATCTTAGTAAGGACTCTGTTTTACAGGTTCTACCTCCTTTAAAAACAAAATCTCAGCCGGGCGGTGGTGGCACACTCCTTTAATCCCAGCATTCGGGAGGCAGAGGCAGGCGGATCTCTGTGAGTTCGAGGCCAGCCTGGTCTACAAAGGGAGTTCCAGGACAGGCTCCAAAGCTACAGAGAAACACTGTCTCGAAAAACCAAACAACAACAACAACAAAACCAAAAAACAAAAACAAAAAAAATCTCCTGAGAAAATTGGGAGCATGGGGACCTTGGGTAGGGTTGAAGAGGGGGAGGAGTAGAGGCAGGGAGGGGAGCAGAGAAAAATGTAGAGCTCAATAAAAATCAATTAAAAAAAAAGATCCTACCTCCTCCCATAGCACCAAGATAGGGAAGAACACTTCATTCATAGGTCTCTCAGAGACAAATAGGAAACATATCTCTATTGTGAAAATACTTTTGAAGTGTGGAACTTTGGACAAGAAGAAAGACATGCCAACAAAGCCTTGTATCACAGACCACAGCAAAACAGAGTTTGGTTATATATTCAAAAAGACTGCTACAATCTCTCTCTCTCTCTCTCTCTCTCTCTCTCTCTCTCTCTCTCTCTCTCCCTCATTCCCCTTCATGACGATTACTTTGGATGTTTATTAAATGAAAGAAGTGAGGCACTGAAGTCCCATACTCCAACAAACAAAATTGCTCCTCTTGCTGCAGCTTGTAAACAGACCTCTGTTTCACAGCCGCTCTGCCCACTGCACTTAGCCTGGTTACACTCTACTGCTTTGGTTCAGAATTAAGATAGGAAAAAATATTTGAGGTGTAATTTAAAAAGGGTAATTTTATTCTTTTGAAAATCGGTAGTTCCTTGATAAATAAGGATAAATAGGGAAACTATTAATGTGTCTCAAGAGTAACATTTTATTATTCCATTATTCAGAAAAGAATGAATTTAGGGTAGGTTGCATGATTACATCTTCAAATGCAAAAATTAACTCTAATAGTCATCTCAATAGGAGGGCTGCTAACTTCCTCAGTTCTAAGTCTTAGCTGCCTGCAATTTTAACTTGGATTTCATTATATTAAAAAAATGCTGTGTATAGTTATTACTGAAAAGCAATTGAATTCCACAAAATGACAAAAATGTAAATAGGTAACATTAAGGAGAGCAAAATAAACCACTCAAATATTTCAAGGCACATACACAGTCTAAGAGATTTTTCAAATTAATTTGCTACCCAGGAGCCTAATAAAACATACTACTGAGAACATAAAGTGATAGTAAAAAGAATATACCTCTCTTTATGGTCCACACTGTCGTTATGCAAAATATAAAGAGCCTTCAATAGTACATTACGGGAAGTGCTAATGCGTTAGTTTGCTTACAGAATGACGTAGTTTGTCTGTGCCACAGGAGGTCGTATATACACTTTATGGTTCTTGTTTTATAGAAAATCATTTGTATGCACTTGCTATTAAGCTTGTCAGAGAAAAAAACTTGTTGTAAAACATTCTCAAATTATCTGTGAAGTTTTTGTAGGCATTTTAAAAAGCATTGTTTATAAACCAGCAGTACTCTCTATAAATGAGTTTCACAACTTTCTTCTTCTGGGTTGGTTCTATGAAGACATAACATTAAAATTTCAGTGAGATTCTGTTTCTTTTGCTTTATGTATTTTGCTTAAAATATTTTTGTTTATTTTGTGATATGCTGGGGATTGACCTAGGACCATGAACTTGATAGGCATGTGCTACCACTGACATCTCCAGCTAGGCCTTTTTTTTTTTTTTCTAAAATGAATTACTGTGTCTCACTTCACATCAATGTCTTAGAATTAAATCTAGTCATACAATATTATCAACTATATCTATATTATTAATGTGGTATTTGTGTGTTATGAATATGAGTCACTCAAATCTCCCCTTCTCTGTTTACATGGGCTCAGATCACCAGACTTAAATAAGAAGCATCTTTCCTTGATGAACTATCTCTTTGACCATATTAACAATATCTTAAACTACCCACTATTAAAGGAAATTATTCTTTTTTAATCACTTGCTACTACACTAGTTCAATGCAATTTCTTCAAGGGGAATTTTGCAGCCAGATAGAATATATAAATCTCTATGAATATCATTGAAAATAATCTTTGAATCCTTGAAAAAACACAGTTAAATTAAATAATGATCACAATCATTTCCTCTGCATTCCAATAGCACTGCATTCTGATAGTACAGGACCTATTAAACCTCATCCATTCTTGAACCATTTTTCACTATAACTTTATAACTATATAAAATAACTTTATACAACCATGGTATAAGAGTATATAAGGAAGTATAGGAATCACGTATTCATTAATAATAAAAGATTAAAGTGAGCTAAAAAGATGGACTAACACTTAAGAGCACTACTGCCCCTGCAGAAATAGTATCTGTTGGTTCACAACTGCCTGCAACTACAGTTCCAGGGTAAGTGACAGCTAAATACTGTAAGTACACCTGCATGCACATGGCGCACAGAAATACATGTGGGCACCCACACCCATACATTAAATAAATACATCTTAAAGATATAGCATCCAAAACAGCAGCAAATCTACATGCTGAGGTAATGTAATTGTTCTTACATGATTGTATCATGGATAAATATTTGGCATTAAATACACAGACCACCATCAATAATTAATTATTGCTTTTATAATTCTCAATGCTGAGAATGCTGTCTTGCATAAATATATATTGCAAACGTCGTAGAGTATATTTATGGCTAATTAAAATTTTCTATCTTAATCACAAGTAAAAACCCATTTACTGACTTTTTAAATGAAAACAAAATAGAAATTTGAACAGTAAATTAAAAAGAGAGAAACAAAACCAACAAAATCCTTACAGAACACAATTAAAAGTTACACTAAATTTGACAGTAATATGCTGCTGAGGAATGGTGGCCAGAAACATTTAAGTCTTCTTTTCTCTGCTTTCTTTTTTATTTTGTCGTTAATTAAACTATTGTGTTTCTGTCAGAGCACTGTGTACGTAGAGCAAGCACTGTGCTTTTCTGCCATTATTCATTGTGTGCATGCTGTGAAGGTGTGCAAAGTGTACATGACATCAGTGAAGTCACATAACCCCACACCAGTAACAATACTAGGATAACTGCAGGTGTATTATGCATTCAAGTTCAGTAACTTTGCTTCAAAGTTCATTATTCATTTAGGTTCATTATGCAGGTTGCTTTCTCCCATGGTCATGGTAGTAATGGTAATTTCTATTTGTTTCTTTGTTTGTTTTTTATTCTTCTCTCATACAATACATCCTGACTGCAGCCACTACCCACTCCTTCCTGTGCTACCCCCTCCCATCTCCATCAGATCCACTACCCCTCCATTTCCATTCAGAAAAGAGAAGGCCTCCCAGGAATGTCAACCTAATAAGGTATTTCAAGACGAAATAAGGCTAGGCACAAACTCTCCTATCAAGACTGGACATGGCAAGTC